CTTAAAATAGATATAGATTCCAAATTATGAGAATGACATGAAATTCCCATATTCCTAGAATACACTTCGTTCTTAGAAAAATCTGTTTTCCACATTTCTAAATTATCTTTTTTTGAGAGGGCCAGGGAGATGGCTCAGTGGAATAAGCGCTTCCCTGGCAAGTGCAAGGGCCTGAGTTCAATGCCTGGTTCCACCAAAAAAAATAAATAAATAAAACACAAAATTATCTTTTTTCACCTAACTTCCCATTCCTCATTTAATAAAAGTATCTGAATTAAAATTTCTTAGAATGCATTTAGGTATGGTATACTGCAGAATATTGAGGTTTCTAAGTTATATCACATTATTTAAAACTTCAAATAAATATGGATAATCTTGAACTAAATTATTTTCCTTAAACAACTAAAGTTATATAGGGTTACTTTACAATATCAAAGTTATAAGTCATTGTGTGTATAAAACATTATTTCTATAACACAATTTGTTTTTCCTCTTTTCCTCAACTTTCCATAATGAATCTATCTAACCTACCAAAGCACAACATATCTAAATATAAGTTATCTAAGGATAACAGGACAGAAGACACACATTTATTTCTACTCTCTCTCTGGATTAGCCATCAAACGTGACATTAAATCAATTTTTTTTTTAAAAAAAGGTATAAACCTATTCAAAGAGAACTGGAGAAGACACAATGAAAAGCAGATCACAATACATGACTTAAATTCTTTTTTTTTTGTTGGTGAACAATGTTCTTTTCTTCTGAAAATGGATGATGATCAGTTCATTCAGAGGCTACAGGACTGAACTTAAATTCTTTTTTTTTTTTTTTTTTTTTTTTAATTGGTGGAAATGGGGATTGAACTCAGGCCCTTGCTCTTGCCAGGGAAGCAATTATTCTACTGAGTCATCTCCCCGACCCCACATGACTTAAATTCTAGGAAGCCAGTTCATATGCTAAAAGGGAGAAGGCATATCAGGAGAAATGCAGGGAAGAAATCTCACTGCCCACAGGTCCCTCAAAAACCTCAGGAATTTAACATGGAGGCAGAAGTAAAGCTGGAGCTAGAACAGATGACATGTGAAGTTTCTTAAACACTAATCTCCTCATCAGCAGAACGCTACAAGATTATCCTTTTGGAAAGGTAAAATATGAGATAGCTGGGCTTGAAAAACCAGGCACATTAGAGGACATACACCCTGAAAATAGGGGTGTTGCAGGAAAGATAATTAAGTTATCTTAAATACTGGATATTCAGTAACCCCCATCTTTCTTTGCCCCCGGCCCCCCAGCATCCAAACCCTGGCATGAAGAATTAGATGGAAATAGAAAGGAGATGCAAGTCTTTCCTCAAGGGTCAGAGGCCCAAGAAAAAGACCTGAAGGAACCAACAACAGCAGTTTCCAAGTAAAATAGCCCTATCATATCACTACACAGTGAAGGCAAATGCAGACTAGCACTTGGGATTATAAATAAATAAATAAAGCAAGCATATATTTGGCAAATTTTTCAACATAAGAATACATGGTGTGCCTCCCCACCCCGCCCGCCGAGTAGGATTTTCTGCCGAGTTCCGGGAGCCCCCAGGCCCAGTCCTAGCCCAGGTCCGGTGAGTGTGCGGAGAGCTTCCTGCTACCCTGCGCCAGTCCCAGCCCAGGCGCAGAGTGGGCCGGACCCTCTCCCAGCCCCTTGGGCCACCCCCCACCACTCCGCAGTGCCTCCCCCACCCTGCCCGCCGAGTAGGATTTTCTGCTGAGTTCCGGGAGCCCCCAGACCCAGTCCTAGCCCAGGTCCGGTGAGTGTGCAGAGAGCTTCCTGCTAACCTGCGCTGGCGGGACCAGTCCCAGCCCAGGCGCAGAGTGGGCCGGATCCTCTCCCAGCCCCTT